GGGGGGGGAGGCCCTGAGTGGCTCAGTCGGTTGAGCGTTTGACTCGGGGTTTCGGCTCAGGTCATGATCTCACAGTTCCTGAGGTCAAGCCCAGCTTCTGGCTCTGGGCTGACGGTGAAAAGCCTGCTTGGGATTCTCTCTCTGCCTCTCTCTCTCTCTCAAAATAAATAAGCATTAAAAAAAATTAATGGATGTAAAGTAAGACAACAAAACTATCAGAAGAAAACACACTCTTTTGTGCAGCCAGTTTAGAAGCTGGGCTGCACTGAGGTCCAGCGTCCATCAAGACACCACTAAGAGAATAAACACCCAGCAGGCCCGGAGGACGCAGCAGCCACGCACACAGAGCACGGGGAGCTTGTGTCTGGGGTGTGGGGAGAACGTGCAAATGCAGACAGCCCAAAAGAAAAGGGGCAAAGCACTGGCATACGTCCCCCCCGCCCCCCGCAAAGACTAAAAAACACATCTGGTCACCAGGCCACTGCTCGAGTGTGACACTATCCTAGGTCATAGACAGTGCCTCAAGGTCACTCCGGGCCCCGCTTCTGGGGTCTTCTCTGCAGAACCGTGGTCTGCCCGCTCGACTTGTACCAGATGAGGTGGCGCCTGTGTTCACGGCAGCCCCCTCCCCCGCATGCTCAAGGGTGAACTGGGTCATGAGGCATGATTTATCCCCAGAGGAACACACACCCACCACACAGTACGCAGGAGCCGCTGGGAGGCAGAACTCTACGGGTGCTGAAGGAAAGCAGCCACGTACCCGCTACCTGGATCCATTTACAAGACGTTCACAACCAGGACAAGCAAATTCATGGTGGTGGAGGCAAACATGGGGCTCTGGGACCCAGAGATGTACTATTTCCTGATGTGAGTGATGCTTATGTGTCTTTGCAAACTTGGATCACTTCTGACCTGGGACCTGCATTACATGTTTCTTCAATAAAGTATTTTTAACTAATGACAAGGACGGATTTGAATGACCGTTAAGAGAGAAAATCAACAGCACTTGGAGAGGGCCCCAGGGACTCCCAGCCTGTAAGAGAGCAATCACCACTCCACTTCTGCCATGGTCTGCCATGTTGCCAGGAGGACCCCGACGCTGCGAAAACAGCTGGCCTGGGGCGCTGTCCAAGGCAGGGCTGGGTGTGAACCTGGGAGGCCGGAGGGACACTGAGGCTGGCTGGGGTGAAGCTGAGAAGCAGACAGGCTACTGCCAGCTTCTGTTAGGGCCCAGTGGCCCCGCTCAGCCACAGGACACTGGCCAGCAACAAGGGAGGAAAACCACAGGTCACTCCTCCACCTGGGGCCCTCTCCAAGGTCCTGAGTCCCACCCCCATCCCCATCCCAATGCTCCCAGGCCTGGACAGCTCAGGAAACTGCCATCCAGCCAAGGCCACAGGCGGGCAGAGAGGAGGGATGGTGGTCAGACTGCCAGAGGCAGGGGCCAAGCCCCACGGACCATCTGACGTCTACCCTCTGCCCAACTCCGTTCTGAGGCCCACGTCCCACCCAGGGTGGGCACCAGAAGGGCGCTGTCCATAGGGCTAGGGCCTCAGTCCGTGCCTAGCCTGCATGTCCAAGCCAGTGCACCCCTCGGACTCTTAGAGGCAGGAACCACCCGGCCAGGTCTGACTGTTGCAAATTCTCCCTCCCAGACGGGCTCCCTGTGATGCTGCTTCCTCACCCCACCCAGGCAGGACCTCCAAGGCTTCCACAGAAACAGGTGCACGTTTCGGAAAGATAAACCTTCCCAACCCATGAACTCATTAGCAGCCTTTCCTCAAGGAAACTCCTCATTGCTCACTCACCCCGACGGCCTCACCTCTCAGGCCACCCTGCCTCCCTGCGCTGTCGCCTCTCAGCTGCCTTCCCTTCTGGTCTCTGGCCCTTGCTGAGATGGGGCAGCCGGGCCTGAGACCGCAGCAGACTCCAGCACCAAGAGCTTCCTATTTCTTCCACGAGCCCAGGCCTGCCACCCCAGAATGCCTGTCACCCTTGGGTGCCAGCAAGCTCCAGAGGAGGGGAGGCATCCTGGGGGTCAGGTCCAGTGGGCCGCCCACATGTAGCCTCAGCCTCCTGCCCCCCCCCCC